CGGGCTCGGCAGGCGGCCGAGGCTCCACCCGCTTCCCCAAGCCGGGTGCTGCTCGGAACTGCGCGCCCGGGCCGGGGAGAGGCTCGCCCCTCCGAAGTGTGCATGGGAGGGGCGGTGGGCGTGGCGTGGGAGGGGCGTGTACGGTGGGCCGCTTCCTGGTAAGCTGAGATTTTTGAAAAAGGGAAAACCTGGGAAGGTTTACCTCCTTTAAAGGGCTGGGGCGGGGAACGGGAAGTTCCGGTACCCGCAGACCCGTTTGTCGCTTAACCTTGACAAAGTCAGACACGTTTGGGTGAGGTGTTTGAGCCAGTTTGGCAGGCTTGGGAAGTGATGGAATGCCGATGTCGTTACCTTGGCATTTTCTCCGTACATGGCAAAAAATTATAAAATGAGTTCATGGAAAATGAAAGAGAACACGGTTGTACATTAGGAGTTCAGCTTCAAGGAATATTTTATTAGGGACGTTCTGACATTCAGAAATGCTTTTTTTTTTTTTAAAGATTTTATTTATTTATGTGACAGGGAGAGAGACAGAGAGGGAACACAAGCAGGGGGAGTGGGAGAGGGAGAAGCAGGCCTCCTGCCGAGCAGGGAGCCCAATGCGGGTCTCTGTCCCAGGACCCCGGGATCATGACCTGAGCTGAAGGCAGACACTTAACGACTGAGCCACCCAGGCGCCCTAAAAATGCTTTTTCTAAATCTTTTTATTATGTGGATATTAAAGTGAAAGCCATTAATTCTGTGAGTTGCAAACATTTCAGGTAAAGCGAACAGAGTTTGCCAGTCATTCCATCAGGCACCTATGTTAAGAACTTGGACGGTGGAAATTCACCATGGCTTATGGCTTGCCAAGAAAGAACACAGTGAAGACCATATTGCGGGGCAGTTGTTATAAAGTGTAAGTATTTTCCTCACGGTGAGCACTGACTGGGCGTGGGGAGTGTCCTTGGTAAAATAGAAGTACCGAAAACCCTTAGGTTCTCCATGAGATACTGGACTATGCGAGGTGTTTTCAGTTATCTGAATAGTGATTTTTTTAAAAGGGAAAATACTTTTAATAAGAATTTATAAATTATCTTACTTGGTCTTTACAACAAAACAACACAAACTGAGGTTTGGCGAAGTGGGTTGATCAAAGTCACGCAGTCATGGAGTAAACAAGTGACAGAGATGGAAGTCTGTCTTCTGACTCCAAAGCAACATCTACTACTGTCAACTACGTTAAAGTACCTCTGTAGATAGTATAAATCTACCTAAAAATGTCTTGGTGTCAGGTATATCTCTTTTTTTTAAGGTTTTTTTTTTTTTTTAATTTGTTTACCTGAGAAAGAGAGACAGGAAGAGCGAGAGAGTACAAGCAGGGGGAGCAGCAGGCAGAGGGAGCTATGAACTTTGCTCTCTCCCCCACCATATCTTATATAGCCTAATGATTAAGACCTCAGATTCTAGAGTCTGACTTTCTGGTTTCAAATCCTAAACCCATGAACAGCAGCCTTGTGATCTTGAGCAAGTTGTTCTACTCCTGTTTCCTAATCTCTCAAATGAGCATAATAGCACCCGCCTACCTCATAGGGTTGCTGTGGCAATTAAAGGTGTTCATATGTGTAAACTGATTAAGACAGTGCCCAGCATATAGTAAGTGCTAGATAAAAATTAGCTGTTTTATTGCTCATCTTTCCAAATCAACATATAAGGACAAACCTCATTCTTCCATTCTGTGTATGAACCACAGTGTGTTTAATCAGGCTCTTCTTGATAGACATTAAGGCTATTTTGTGAAATTTTTTTGGACAAACAATGCTTCAGTGAACATTCTTATAAACACATCTTTGTGCCCTTGTTCAAATGCATTTATAATCATTGTAGACCTCAAGTCGCTCCTTAAAGTTAGATGATGAAGTAGTAAGGAAGCTGGAGGAGGAGAACAAGTAGACCCATGTACAGAATACTCATTTCCCCGATTTGTACCAAAGCAGGTCTTTCACCTTTCCTCGTGTATGGACTCTCTGAGATGAGAAACATGTAGTTGACATTTTAAATTTCCAAATTAGAAATTATATAAAACAATTCATTTGAGGTTCATGGTGATTATTTTTAATATTATAGTTTGGGATTTCCTCCCCCACTTCTCCAGTTTTCTGAGGATTCTCTTGGTACTAGTGCTTCTAAATAACTACCCCTAGGCTAAGTACCAGCTCTGGTTCTTAAATAACTTCCATGTCTCTGTTTCCTTATCTACCTGCATGGTGGTTGTAAAGATTAAAATAAGATCACACACTCAAAGCCCTTGTGTATGCCAAGCACCCTGCTCAATGCACGAGTATTCCCCCTTTTCCCTTCCCTAATATGACCATATTTGTGATCAGCCATAAAAGACTTGGAGCGTACAGTTCTTAACTATATCCTCTTAAAAGACATGGAAAGATTGGATTGACTGCAGGGAGGCTATTTTTGAACAAAAGTTCCTGCCATCATAATTTATCATAATTTTTCAATATATCTCTACATTAGTGTGTGTGTATAGATATATATATACATAAAATATACACATTATACATTATGCATTTAAAGTAAAGCTCCTTCTCCTGGCTAGATTTACAACTCTGGAAAATCCTGAATTCCCCCCATAAGCGAAAATATCTAGTGGAAAATGGAACAGAGTTAAGATGTCTTCTGTATATCCCACAATAGATGTTCAGTAAATATTTATTGAATGAATTAATGAATTTTTGCCCCAGACAGGAACCTTGGGAACTTGCACTGCTTACAAAGACCTGGTATACGAACCTAGCCAACATCAAGTTACCTTTCTTGGGAGAAATTACATTTGGTAGCCCTTTATACCTCAAAAAAACTAAAGCCATTAAGAATGCTCTGCTCCCTTCTGCAGAATGTAAGTTCTGTAAGAGCTACTTTAGTAAACAGCAAATTTTATCTGTGTTATTTTGCTTATTATCAGAGAAATGTTTAAATATACTCATTCACACCCATACCCCTCATCTATGTAGCCCTTCTTTTTTTATTTTTATTTTTTAAAGATTTTATTTATTCATTTGACGGAGAGAGACACAGCGAGAGAGGGAACACAAGCAGGGGGAGTGGGTAAGGGAGAAGCAGGCTTCCCGCGGAACAGGGAGCCTGATGAGGGGCTCGATCCCAGGACCCCGGGATCATGACCTGAGCTAAAGGCAGACGCTTAATGACTGAGCCACCCAGGCGCCCCTATGTAGCCCTTCTTGTTTAGTATCTAAGAATGTGAATTTTGCCATGTGATTCAGTGTTCATTTTTAACAATATTATGCCTGGTGAGAAATGTCAGTTGGATTGCTCCATGTATTTTATTTTCCAGCCATCAAACTTGAAAGGGAGTATGAAATGAAGCGCTTGAATCACCTGAAATGTCAGGAGAACGTAGCTGAGGAAATTCAGCTTTACCTAAGGGAAAGGCAAGTTGGTTTGAGAAGACCTCTTCCACCTAAGTGATATCATCTCATAATCAAATCTGTACTCAGTGCTTTCCACATCCAAGGGAATGAAGGTCTCCAACTTTTTACTGTGTGAAGTTTGTACAGACATATGAATGCCCACTGGTAGATGAGCCAGCTCCTGTGGGTTGATGGACAGCTCTGACAGATCTTCTGTGTCCCTTCCTTTGTACCACAAGAGACAACACTGTAAGTAGATGAAAAAGTAGCTGGAATTGAGTCATTTACATGATTATTCATTGTGATTTTTGTAAAATTGCACTAAGGGAAGAGGAAACTCCTTGTCAGAGATATTATTTTGAATTTGCATCTTTGAGATGCCAAAAAGAAGGAGAAAGAAAAATTGTTTTTGTTTTTTTGTTTTTTTTAAAGATTCTATTTTTCAGTAATCTTTACATCCAACTTGGGGCTTGAACTCACAACCCTGAGATCAAGAGTCATATGCTCCACAGACTGAGCCAGGCAAGCACCCCAAGCAAAATTCTTTTAAACATGGTAGACTGAAAAATTTTGTTTGGTTAAGAAAAATTTTAGGTTTCATTTTAGTAACTCTTTAGTTTCCAGTGTTCAGTGAAACATCATTTACTATTCTCATACCATACTTTATTTTTATCTATCTATCTACCTACCTACCTATCTATCTATCTATCTATCTATCTATCTAGGCTCCATGCCCAGCATGGAGCCCAAGGTAGGGCTTGAACTCACAACCCTGAGATCAAGACCTGAGCTGAGATCAAGAGTTGGATGCTTATCTGACTGAGCCACCCAGGTGCCCCTGTCATCTAGTACTTTAAAGTAGCAAGTAGAACTTACTTTCTGCTTTTGTTTTCCTAAAAAATCATCTTTTCCCTTTTGCCCTTTTGCTTCATTTCGTATTGTCTCTCTGGGATGCCCTTGGAGCATGTGAAACACACATACGTATGTGAAAATGACATGAAAATGCAAAGACCTTATTTTAAGGCAAATGCTTATTTACAGAGAGGCTAGAGAATGGGGACTTGATTAGCTGGAAAATGTTGGACTAGCATGAACCAATTTTCCTAGAATTTGAATCCAGTACAGCGCACTTGGGTATGAAAGTTGTATTTGAGGGGGCGCATGGGTGGCTCAGTCATTAAGTGTCTGCCTTCGGCTCAGGTCATGATCCCAGGGTCCTGGGATTGAGCCCCCCATCGGGCTCCCTTCTCCACAGGAAGCCTGCTTCTCCCTCTCCCACTCCCTCTGCTTGTGTTCCCTCTCTCTCTCTGTGGTAAATAAATAAAATCTTTAAAAAAAATGAAAGTTATATTTGAGCACAATTTAATGTTTGTTAGGTGAATCAGTAGGTGTTTAGTGTCTTCTGTTATCTTAGCCTTGTTCTAAAAGGTCTCCTGGCCTCGTGGTTAAGAGTTCATACTTTACACCTGGCTGCCTTCTTCAGCTCTCAGCTTGGCTGCTTATAGCGGTGTGACTTGGGGAGATTTGCTTTATGTCTCCAAGTTTCAGTTTTCTTACATGTAAAACAGGGATGATACGGGTACCTACTACACAGTTGTCTTGAGGATTAAATGGAAACTGGCCCACAATGAGAACTACTCTAATAGTTATTCTGGTAATTACTGTGAGCATCACTACCTTTTTACTGCTATAATCTCCGGAGCAAAGATGTATTATATTGGCCTGACTCTGTTGACCTTTGTGGAGACCAAAAGTCTTGAATTTTCAAGAGTTGGGTTTTGTTCTTTCAATGTATATATGCTTGCCAGACCATACATGACCTGATTTTTTAGTTCAAAATCTGGCCACTTTACCTATCGCATCTCCTGATCATTTCTGTTTAAAAACAATAATCTCTGAGAATCAGTTTGTCACTTACATCTTTTTTTAAGATTTATTGATTTATTTGACAGCACAATTGGGGAGCAGCAGGCAGAGGGAGAGGGAGAAGCAGGCTACCCGCTGAGCAGGGAGCCCGATGCGGGCCTCAATCCCAGGACCCTGGGATCGTGAGTGAAGGCAGACACTTAACCAACTGAGCCACCCAGGTGCCCCTATAGTAGTCTTCTTGATGGTACCCCACAAGTCTCTTAGACTCTCTTCACTTTTCTTCATTAGCTCTAGTCTATTGATGCCATTCTGGAATGGTATCGGGAAAAAAATCATCCAATTCAATATTTCCCAGAGAGTGAATCTTTCAGTTTTGCAAGAGGAGATGAAATAAAGAGGAAAAAGAACACAACTGGTTATTGTGTTTTTGTGAAAATTTCAAATGTAACAAAAGTAGCAAGAACAAGAAAATGAACTTCCATGTCTCCATCACTGAACAGCACTTATGAACTCATGGCCAATTTTATTTCACTTACACTCGCTCATTTTCCACCCCCACCCTCCCAAGTCCCTACCACCAGATTATTTTTTATTATGTTTTATTATAGTTTTTTAATAAGTTAGGTATTTTTAAAGATTATTTATTTATTTATTTATTTGAGAGAGAGAGAGAGCATGAGTGGGGAGAGGGGCAGAGGGAAAGGACTAGCAGACTTCCTGCTGAGCATGGAGCCTGACGAGGGGCTTGATCCCAGGATCCTGGGATCATGACCCAAGCTGAAGTCAGATACCCAACCATCTGAGCCACCCAGGTGCCTCCCATCAGATTATTTTGAAGTAAATCCTAGACATCATATCAGTTCATCTGTAAATGCAAATTTTATAAATGTGACCATTTCCAATTTTGTAAGGGATGGACTGATCAAAGCATACCTAGGGGGCCATAATCCACCCCTGTGGGCCCACAGTTTGAATTTTCACTGGGGAGCTGTATCTGGTGGTTGTTGTTTCAAAATATTTAGGAGCTATCGTCTGAATTATCTTCAGATACTTTCTCCTACCTTTGATATGCTGGCTCACATGGAGGACACTTGCTCTTAGGAATTATGTCAGTGACGCATTTGATTTAGTGATCCTTAGGCCTGGAAACAGCTTTCAGGAGCACAGGGGGTCTGGATGTAGTCTTGGTTGGATAACTTTGAGGAGGTGGAGCTTCCACATTGCTAGATCAGATTGGCTTTATAAAATTCACATGTTCTTTGTGTAAGTTGCCTATCCGCCAACCAGAGCCACTCCCAAAGTTTCTTGGTGGAGCGTCTGGGATTTTCTCTGTGTTACCCAGTTGTACCACTTCTCTCCACCTTTTTTACACATTTGCCCTCGCCAGTTGTTCTTTCTTCCAGTTGACTAGTTTTTTTTCCCCCTCCATCAATGTTATTATCAGCTGGGTTGCTAACTGCTTAAAATGTGGGAAAATACCATTTTCTAATTACACAACCAAAGACCAGTCTTTAGCAAAAATTCAGTGTGTTTCTATTTCTTTAGAAATCAAAACCAATTTACTATTTTCTTTAAAAAATTAATCACATATGTTTTGGATGGTAATGGGATTAATTATGTGTTTGTTTTGTCATTCATGTCCTGCTGAGTAGCTTGCACTTTCCTTTTAGGGTCACTGTCACTAATTCATCTGGGCTGGAGATAACACCTCCAATAGTGTCTTGGAAAACTAGAAATATTTTTCAATCTAAAGACCACAAATTGGGCGCCTGGGTGGCTCAGTTGGTTAAGTGACTGCCTTCGGCTCAGGTCATGATCCTGGAGTCCCTGGATCGAGTCCCGCATCGGGCTTCCTGCTCGGCAGGGAGTCTGCTTCTCCCTCTCCCACTCCCCCTGCTTGTGTTCCCTCTCTCGCTGTGTCTTTCTCTGTCAAATAAATAAATAAAATCTTTAAAAAAATAAAAAAATAAAAAAAAATAAAGACCACAAATCTACTGCACAATGTATCTAACATTGTTGCTATTAGTAAATTTTAATTTCTTAAAAATCAGATTTATTTAGGGGCACCTGTGTGGCTCAGTTGGTTAAGTGTCTGACTTTGGCTCAGGTCATGATCCCAGGTCCTGGGATCGACTCTCACATCAGACTCCCTGCTCAGTGGGGAGTCTGCTTGTCCCTCTCCCTCTGCTCCTCCCCTTGGCTCGTGCTTGCTCTCTCAAATAAATAAATAAATAAAATCTTAAAAAAAACAAAACAAAAGAGCAGTAGCTCTATGGATCCTCACCACTCATTTCCACTTCTATGGAGGCAACTAATTTGATCTCTTTCACTTGTTTTATTATTTACCTTCATGTCTCTAAATAATGCTTTGATTTTGCTACTTCTTGGATTTTTCTTTTTTAGGTATTGACTTCCCATATAGAAGATAGCATTTTTTTTCTTTTCTTTCCTCATCTTCAATACACATACATACCATTTCTATCTACCTGTAAATATAGGTTATATTATAATTTTGGTTAGATCAATATTAAATGTTAACATTATTATGACACTATTATGTTAACATTATTATGTGTAAATACTTCACAGCTGAGCTATGTAGTAGACTATTATTACTTTTCCTTTCCTGCCATTGTGTGTGTGTGCGCTCAGTATTTAGTAATTAGAGTTAATATTTGCTTAGTTTGTAATGTATTTATCACTAAACCCCAAGCTCTTTGCCAGTTATCAGTCTTCTCAAAACAATCCTATGTATTCTATCATTTCGTCTTCCTGAGAGGTCTTGTCCTGCTTTACCCTGAACTGTTTATTTCCACACTCTTATGTAGCTCTCTATGATTTCTGTTATCATCATGGGGATTCACTTCACACTCTTTGATGTAGTTGCTCCTGTTTCTTCTGTATCTGACCATCCTCTTTCTTGGTTTATTTATTTATTTTTATTATAGTGGAGCATATCCTCCAGTAGTTACCTGAGAAAGGGTGCGTGGGAGGATATTTTTTTGAGGTCTATTGTCCAAAGTCTGTATTTTCTGCTCAGATTTCATTGATAGATTGGCTGAGTGTAGAATTGTAGGTTGTAAACAATGTTCATTTAAAATTGTGAAGGATTTGTGTATTTCTTTTTAGTTTTTAATATTGTTAGTGAGCATTCCAAAGTCATTTTTACTTTGGATGCTTTCCCTGAGACCTGCTTTTTTCTCTCTGGAAGCTACAGCATCTTCTCCTAGATCCCACTGTTCTGATAGGAATCATGGTGTAAGACTAATAATCCAGTGTAGCATGGCGATGTAGAGCATTGGGTGTAGAGCATGAGCCACCGGGATTGAATGCTGGTTCCATCACTTATTAAGCTGTGTCATCTTGGACAAATTATTTAACTTTCCTGTGCTTTAGTTTCATCTTCTGTAGAAAGTGGTTAGTGATAGGGGCCCGCCTAGGTGGCTCAGTTGGTTAATGTCCAACTCTCGATTTCAGCTCAGGTCATGATCTCAGGGTCATGAGATCGAGCCCCGCATTGGGCTCTGTGCTGGGCATGGAGCCTGCTTAAGATTCTCTCTCTGCCTCTGACCCTCCCCCAACTCATGTGCTCTATCTCTAAAAAAAAATTAAAAAGTGGGTAGTGATAGTTGTGACAAGTAAATGAGTTAAATATGTAAAGCACCTAGAACAGCGCCTGGCACAGAGTAAGCACTAACACAGATAGCAGTAACTACTCTTACCAGTACCCATTGTGCTTGGTACTACACAGGCCCTCGCAACCTCGAAATTCATTTCCTTCAGTTGTGGGAAATTGTATTAAATTTTTTGGTAGATATTTCTACCTTTTCATTTTCTCTGTACATTCTAGAAGTACTATTATTCATATGCTACATCTTCTGTACTGGCCTTCTAATTTTTTATCTTTTCTCTCCTGTTTTCCATCCTTGTGTCTTTTGCTCCAGTTTCTGGAAGAAGCTCTCAGTTTTATCCCCTAACCATTATAATTTTTAATTTCTGCTCTCCTTTTTTTTTTCCTCTGAAGGCTTGCCCTCTCCTTTCTAAAAAGTAACCTGTTTTATTCATGATTGCCTATCTTCCCTTAGTAATCCAGGTGTGACTGTGCATACCTTAAGGAAGTAAAGGCAGCATGGCTAGTACAGGTCTGACTCAGGGGTCATGGAAGAGGTAGAAACCACAAGACAGTGTAATTGATTGGATATGGTTGAGTGAGGGGATGTGGGTGAATGAAAGGGAGGAATTCCGGATGAATTCCAGATTGTGGGTTTGGGAAAGGAAGAATTGTCTTGGGCGTGTGGGAGCTATGTTGATTTTAGGTATGTTGGTGTTCAAAGTTCTTGGTAGACACGAGCAGATATCTCTAGTAGCAGTGGGCTTTACAGGTGTGCCGCTCAGGAAGGAGTGGGTGTAGAGAAGAAAGCTGAAACTATGGGTGTCTTTGAGCTCATCCAGGAGGAGTACGCTGAATGAACGAGGAGTGGTAGTGAACATTCTGAAACTTTGGTTGGCAGTGTAGAAGAGGCAGGCCTTTAGGGAAAATGGCTTAGATACCGAAACCTTAGGTGAATTGCATGCTGTATTTTATTTTTAATGAAAAATATTATGGTATAGACATTTAATAGTAAATAACTGAAATTTTTGGAAAGAATCTTCATTTTTTCAGTTGATAAAAATGTCCTCAATGAAAACATTTTATCAAGGTTCAGAAGAGGGGGAGAGAGAAGGAAAAAGAGAAAAGAAAAAACCCGTATAATAAAAACTTAGATGTAGAAACTCTTTTAGGTGCTCTATTTATATCCTGTAGTCCTCACAACAACCCTGAAAGGAAGGAAGGGCAATAACAGAGCAGAGCAGAGTTCTAACATCAGAGGGGGAAAGTTTGGGGACAGGGCTGGGCCAGGATCTTGATGAGGCAGAACTTTTGCCAATGGCTGACAGGGCAGCAAGCATAAAGGGGGAAAATGAACTCTCCCTTTGTTCACTGTCTTTAAGAAGTATTTATATCCAGTGTAGAACAGATTTAGAGCATTGTGTAGGGCATGGACCACCTGGGATTGAACACCAGTTCCACCACTTAATAGTGTCATCTCAGACAAATTATTGGGGCCTTGCTGTCACTTGGTTTCTTTAGCCTCTTTTCATCATGATCTTAAGAATAGTTAACTTCTTTTTCATTCCAGTAAATAGTGCTCTTTCCATTGCATTATGTAGGCCAAAAACCTAGGGGTCATCTGTAATTCCTCTGTGTCCCTCATCTCCTCTTTCCTGCCAGTCCCATCCATCAGCAACTCTTACTGGGTCTACCTTCAGAAAATATCCCAAATGTATCCATTCTTTCTCCACCTCTGTCACCCTTATCCACGTCTCCACCATCTCTTGTTTGGAACACAGAAAAAGTCCCATAACTGACCTCCTTGCTTCCATCTTTGCCTTTCTTTAGTTTACCCTTGGCAGCCATAGTGATCTTTTAAAAATGGCACTCACGCAGGGGCCCCTGGCTGACTCAGTTGGAAGAACATGTGCTCTTGATCTCAGGATCATGACTTTTGAGCCCCACCTTGGATGCAGAGATTACTAAAAAAAATAAACTTAAAAAAAAATGGCATTCATATCATTGTCAAAAAGATCACCTCACTCCCCTGAGTGACACCCTTTCCTGTGGCCTATAAGGCCCTATGTTTATCTGATACTTGCTTTCCTTTTGGACCTTGTTCCTCCCACTCATCTTTCAGTCCTACTGGGTGCAAACACATTACCCTAATCCTGTTAATCTGACTTGTTTCTGCCTTGGAACATTTGCACTTGGTTATTTTCCCCAAGGTTGTCTTCCCTCGGACTGTCACAGAGATGTTTCCTAACTATTTAGGGCTCCACTCAAATAACATCTCCGGAGGGAGGCTTCCTGTGACCGTCCCCATGACCCCCCACCCCTGATAAATTGGACTTTTCTTTTACTCAGTCACTTTCTGTGATGGCACCCTCTTTTAATTCCTTTATAACACTCATGTCATTATCTGTAATTATTTATTTGCTTACTTGTTTGTTATTTCTCCATGGTGTCTCTATTATCTACAATAGTATCTACCCATGGTAGCCATTCTATCAGTATTTGTTTAATGAATGAATATATTACCTGAAAAATTGTTGAAAAGGTGCCACTTTTGAAGAGAGTGATCAGAGGATTTGATTTCTGCTGTTTCCTCCCTATATATATGCTTTTTTTAAAAAAAGTAATCTCTAGGGGCGCCTGGGTGGCTCAGTCAGTTAAGCATCTACCTTGGGCTCAGTTCATGATCCCAGGGTCCTGGGATCAAGCCCTACGTCAGGCTCCCTGTTCAGTGGGGGCTGCTTCGCCCTCTCCCTCTGCCCCTCTCCTCTACTTGCATTGTCTCTTTCTCTCTCTCAAATAAATAAATAAAATCTTTAAAAAAAAAAAAAGTAATCTCTATACCAAATGTGGGGCTTGAGCTCACAACCCAGAGATCAAGAGTTGCATGCTCTTCTGAATGAGCCAGCCAGGAGCCCCTTCCTATATATGCTTTGACACACATTTTTTTTCCAGCTTTATTGGGTATGATTGGATATACCATAAACTGTACATATTTGAAGTACAATGTGATGAGTTTTGACACCTGTGGGATCATCATCACAATCAAGATAATGAACATGTTCATCCTCTCAAGAGTTTTCTCGTGCCCCTTGTAATCCATCCCTTTTCACTGCTCTTCTCTCATCACCTCCTCCACCCCGAGTGCCCTCCACTCCCACCCCAAGCAACCACTGATCTAGCTGCATTCTGGCACTATAGATTAATTTGTGGTTTTGAGGATTTCATATAAATGGAATCATACAATATGTACTTTTTTTTGGTCTGGCTTCTTTTGCTCAGCATAATTATTTGAGATTCATCCATGTTGTTGTATATGTGTTCCTTTTCATTGCTGAGTGGTATTCTGTTGCATGGATATCCTACACTTTGTTTATCCATAAACTTGTCGATCAGTTTCTAGTTTTGAATGCTTACAAATAAAGCTGCCATGAGCGTTGTATGGGCATGTTCTTTCATTTATTTTGAATGAATACCTCAAGGAGAGGAATGGCTGGGTTGTATGCCAGGTACATGTTTAACCTTGCCCATTTTCAGATCCCTCTTTTAGTTTTAAAGGAATCGGGTTAGGTGAAGGATTTGTCACCTCCCTATGGTGACACAGCTTTAAAAGTGGTGGAACTGAGATGGAATTCTAGATCCATGTGAATTCAAAGTCTGACCTTTTCCAGAAGACTATGCTTGGTCCACCTCTGGCCTGGCTGTCTGTATGGCCTGTTGAGAAAGTGAATATTGGAGAATATGGCTGGTATGGGGCAAGTAGGTCCTTTACTAAAATTTGGAGTGAGGGATGAGTTTAGCTCAGTGGTTCTCTATGAAGGGTGATTTTTGCCTCTCTCCCCCCTCAGGACATTTGGCGATGTCTGTAAACATTTTTGGCTATCTTACCTATAGAGTATTACAAAGGCTTCTAATGGGTAAAGTCCAGGGATGCTGCTAAATATCCTACAATACACAGGACATCTCCCCCACAAGAGAGAGATTTCCAGCCCCAAATGTCAATGGTGTCAAGGCTGAGAAACCCTGATTTAGCTGATTGGTTTAAGCTACTCAGGACACACTGCTGAAGCAGAAGGTTGGATCAGACTGCATGGCTGAGAAGCCTAAGGTGGGGGTATTTCCCTAAAAGAAATGCAGCCCATGATAGGAGGAGGAGGAATGCTGGGCAGCAATCAACATGAGCTAGATGTTTCCAGTTCTCTTTTGGCTACTTACATTCACTCATACTCTTCTTTCCATATTATAAAACCCACTCACTTATTTCTCAAAATTGTATCCAGTTACTGCAACAGCTCCGAGTCCAGGATTTCAGTTGTCTTGAGTCTGGATCTTGCAACCAATGGCTAAATAATACACCATTAACCCTAACACAATTGATATACCATGGTGGAGAGAAGACAAGATAGATACATATAATGAAAAGGTTTGGCCCTTTAGTCTTACAGATGGTCTTGGGCCACAGACATGGCACTCCTCCTTTGGTATTTGGGGTAGATGGCGGAGGGGTTGCTGAAACTATTCAGACTTCCCTGAGCCATCAACCCACCATCAGGGACCTCAATGTGAAATTCAATTATAATTTTCTTTTGCTTCATTTGGGAGACAAAGGGGAAGGAACAAGACAATAGGGGCATTGATAGGGAAGTTTAGAGATGTTTTCATTGTACCTCAGAACTGCTATAACCTATGAGAAGAACCTAGTGATCTTGGCTTATTTTATTTGGAATTATGGGCATAATATAGTAGTCTTAATTGATCCCTAGGGAAGACAATGTTGCCAACGTACCAGGAGTCTCAGGCTCTATTTTAGAATTTTCTAGTAGGCTTCTACCTTCCATTCATGTCTCTTTTCAGTTTCAATCCCTTTCCTTCTCTTCGAATTATCCACCTCCACTCTACAGACTTGTTTTGCACCTCGCAACTTTCACAGCATTGGAATGTAGGTGTAGTCACCTTCATGGGCTGCAATTGCAGGTGTCATTTTTTTTCCTTACCTCGAATTAACTTTCTGTCAAAGCAACTCCTTCCAAGTTCCAGAAGCAGGCATCCTCTCTCATTGTTTGAGAGATTGCTCACCAGGTGACTATTTACTGTTGGAATTTAGTTTCCTGCTTTCCAACACATGTCTAGAGCAGGTAAGATGAGTGCAATGTGAACCCAACATGCAAGCATTTACTGGGCCACATTCCCTGTACCACCTCCTTCCCCAGAAGCTCTGTTGTATCAGAGCTCAAGTGTTCCCAGGAGGCTGACCATCAGAATGCTAGCACGGCAGTCTAACAATATTGAAATTGCTTTACATGAGTCGTGGAAATAGCTGACATAATTTCTTTCAAGATAAGAGGAGGGTTATTTCCTAATTTTGGTCTTCTTTTATCATGCAATCACATGACCCCTCATGGCTCTTCTAGTATTTGAAAGAAATTTTCTAAGCTATAATAAAGGGTTTTGCAAAACAAAGCAGGGTTCAGGAATGGCTGGCATCATCAGGTGTCGGTGTCTTCTTGTCTGCGTGACTTGACGTGATTGCATCCAGTGTCCTTGCATTCGCTAACAGGTTGAAATGCAGATCTTCATGAAGACCCTGACCAGCAAGACCATCACCCTGGAGGTGGAGCCCAGTGACACCATCGAAAATGTGAAGGCCAAGATCCAGGATAAAGGAGGGCATCCCCCATGACCAGGAGAGGCTCATCTTTGCCAGCAAGCAGCTGGAAGATGGCCGCACTCTTTCTGATTACAACATCCAGAAAGAGTTGACTCTCACCTGGTTCTCCACCTGAGGGATGGCTGTTAATTCTTCAGTCTTGAATTCATAGTGCCCAATGATGGCATTGCTCTGCACTGTAGCCATTTGCCCCAATTTAAGTTTAGAAACTACCAGTTTCAGTAATAGTTGAATCACTGGTTTTCTCAGTAGCTGTTCAAAATGTTAATAAAAGTTTTGTTGCTTGGTAAAAAAAAGAAAGAAAGAAAGAAAGAAAGAAAAGCAAATCAGAAAATTGGAAGCAGGAGCAAAGAAGAATTTATTTTTGATACTGACTTTGTTATTTTTCTGGTTTAGATGTAACAGATGTTATTAATAATAATAACCAACACAATAACTAATATTAATTGAGCACTTCAAATGTTCCAGGCATAGTAGCTAGAAAATGTCAGATCAAAAAGCTGGAAGTTTGTACCAGATGCTTGCAGTTGATGCCTGGTTTTCCTGTAAAATGCAGATGCTTGAGCTCAGCATCAGCCTTTATTTTGATTGATTTTGGCTAGAGTACTAGGTGCATGTCCTCTGGCTTAGTAATGGAGGGTGGGGAAAAAACACTTCTGGGCCTTTTCAAGCCGGGGCTTTAGGGTTTAACCTCTGTTGAAAGTATATAAAAGTATATAAAGCATATAAGGAACCATTTTCAGCATTACTGAAAAGTGTCTGGCTTTCCCTGGTCCTACCCTTCTTCTTTGGGAGGTAGTTGGGTTATGTGGTCAAGGATGTGTTTTGCTTATATATTCTTTTAGGGAGGCCACTATAAAATAGCTTACAACGTACAGCGAATGCTAGGAAATATTCCTTGAATTTAGGATTATGAGTGTTTGAATCAGGTAGCTACTTCAAAATAAGAGTTGTTTAGACATGTGAATTAGGATATTCCCCTCTTCAACATGGCTATTATTCTTTCACAATGTCAGTCAACACGTTTTCTGTGTACCTGTTGCCTCATCTGATAAAGCACGTGACTTAAGCGTTTAGGAAGGTGAAGAATAGTGACCAGGATGTGACATATAGTTTGAGTGGCAGGAATAATATTTTATACAAGTGGAACTCATGAGCTTTTATTATTTCATCTATTTTTCATGTATAGTATTGACCCTGGATTTGACTCTTATGATCTTGCCTTACCATTTCCTAGCTTAGCCCATGGCAGATTGTTTAACCTCCCTAAATTTCTCTGCACTCATGAGTAAATGAGGGTAATAATGGTACCTGAATGACAGGATTGTTGGGAGGATTACTGAGATATATTTTTCTTCTTCATCTTGAACTTTCCAGCTGGGGCCCTGTAAACTGGACAAAAAGATTAATGAGGAAAAAAGAAGTTTATTAACATGTGCATTGCAAATACATAGGGGAACACTCAGGAATGAGTACCTCAAAGAGGTGTTAGAACTTGGGCTTATATATCATCTTAAAAGAACAAGAGAGAAGGGACAAAACAAAGAAAAAGGACTTTGAGCCTGTAGGGGTGGCAAATTGTGGGAAGGCAAATATATGGGGGAACTTATGGTAGATAAGGGGTATAGTTTTAGCAAGGTTTGTTCTGTAGATTCCTCTGGTGTAGATTTCTCTTGGCTGGTAGGGTCTGACGGTGTCTGTTGGGCTTAGCTTCCGTCCTTCCTGGTAGAGAGGGAAAGGGAGACACCTTTACAAATTTATGTCCTGTTTTTAGGCATATAGAGGGGGAGCAGGGAGCTGCTCTTGTATCTGCTTCTTCTCAGTTGCCTTCTGCTCAAAATAATCCTCATGCCAAAGTGGCATATTTTGGGGTGGCATGTTCTACTACCCTTCACATGTACATGACCTGTCACAGGATCTGGTACATAGGAAAGACTCAATAAGTGGTAGTTGGTTTTACTGTTACTATCACGGAAGATCAGTATCAGTAATTTGCTCCAATGGCTGACAAATTCCATTAATCTTATTCATTACAAGATTTTCTTATAATTCTAGGGTTCAAACAGTCTGTGAAAAAATTTTTTTAAAGATTTTGTTTATTTGAGAGTGAGAGAGAGCGAGAGCATGAGCGGGGGAGGAGCGGGGGGGTGGAGAGAGTCTGAAGCAGACTCTGCACTGAGCACAGAGCCTGGTGTGGGCTCAATCCCAGGACTCCAGTCATGACCTGAGCTGAAACCAAGAGTCAGATGCTTAGCCGGCTGAGCCACCCAGGTGTCCCAACAGTCTATGAAAATTTATGGTTATAATCTTTTTTTTTAATTCTTCAGTTTTTAATTTTTTTTATGGTTATAATCTTAATAACATCTGATCTGATGAGCTGAGGCCAGAAAAGGTTGTTGGGAAAAGGCCCACAAATACTGTTACAAATAGCATGCCACCTGTTCAGGTAAACACGTCTTTCCAGTTGATTCCAGGTGCTTCATTTTCCCTTCTGGTTATTTTATTCTGAAGGTTGAGTGGGTGCTGTTTCAGGATAAACACTTTGTCAGCCCACTTTTCTATGTCTTGACTTGGCCCATCAGACCTTCTCACTCC